CAGTGATTTCTATGATTGGCCTTAATCCCGGCCGAGTGGAGAAGACAGAATGAAGAGCTTAAAGCAGACTGCTCTCACTCTGACAAGCTCCACTGGCTGCTGCTGCTGCTGAGGCTGAGGCCCCCTGGTGGATTACCTGCTGCATGACTTCTGTACCAAGATATTTTTACTTTTTCTCACTTAAAATTCTAATGCACACGGTGTTTTTAACAATTATTTTGTTTCTCCAAATTTCTCCATGTGTTATGAAAAAAAAAATCATTGCCTTCTGTTTGATCTTTATCTTCAGGAAGGAAATGTGCGCTGTCCTCAACAAACGAGCTGCGGCTCCATGAAGGGTCTAAGTTTGAGGAAAGAAAATATGGACGGGGAAAATTGAACTTAAATTAAGAATCTCTCAGAAAGTATCGGGTGTAAAGAACAACTTTGTGTGTTTTTATTTCCTTCAGATCACTCTTTGTTTCCTTGTTTTCTTCAGTTTTTTTTTTTTGGTCTAACAAACAATTTCATGTTTGTCCAACTCTTTATTCTTTGGCTGTTTTAGTTAATTATAATATCAAATGGTTGATTAGCCGATTTCTACGGCCACAGGGCGAGCGTGAAAATGTTGCCTGTAAAAAAAAAAAAAAAAAAAAAAAAAAAAACTCAACTAAAACTTTAAAGGCACAGAGTAGAAAATGAGCATCGAAAAGAAACAGCAGGAAAAACTCGCCCAGTCAGCGGTCTTGATGACCACTGGGGGGCAGCTGTGAGTGACTGTGAGCTGTACTACCTGCTACAGGTGACTTTCTTTGACAATATTATTCAGTCTAGGTGAAACCAAGACGTTTCCCCACAGCGTGTGTAAATAACGACAACAGTGATGTCACTTCTTCTGACAGCCAATAATTGTCATCTGGACCAAACTGCTTTGAAAAGGTGAAGTGACCTCCGTGGAGTCCTTCCACAGTCCTCCGGTCTCCACGGCAACTGAAGTGTTCCCACACGTCAGGCTGAGGTCATCCTCATGTTGAGTAGCTGAACTCCAGGACGCAATCACATGGACGCACCGTGTGGCGTCCCCTCAAGTGTCCTCTTACCCACACACACACACACGCAGTGGGCCTGTTGTTGAGAGTGTCCCTCCAGATCACAGCTGGTGGTGGTGGTGCGGTGGTGCAGTGTGGTGCGTGGAGTGCCCTTTAACTGGACGCTCAGGCCCAACAGGCTGTGGCCGCCACAGAGGTGCTGGGTGATGAGTTGGCGCTCATCACAGCGTGACGCTGTCCATCCCTGGCGTGTTGTCATTCCCCTAGAAATAACATGACTCTGAGTGATTAAACTGCCCCCCCCCACACCTCCACCCCCCCCAGAGCAGAGCAGAGTGAACAGTTATGAATATTAAAGATCTTCATCGCCTCACGCTGAGCTCTTCGTTTCATCTCCGCCGCGTCGGTGTTCACGGGGAGAATTTTCGTCTTTTTTGCCGACAGCCTGCCTCGCCGCCTCGCCGCCGCCGACACTGTCAACCTGCTCACGTTTGGGCTCTTTGTGCAATTACACTGTCACCTGCTCCGGTGTGGACAGTGTTTGCACACACGGCAGGTGGAACGCTGTTGTTTAAGGCCTTTTTATGATCCTTCATGTTCTCCTGACAAACAGCCCCGGTGTTGGGGCAATTTATGTCAAGGTTACATTTAGACGCCCCTGTTCACACTGTCACACTACTGCCTCCTGTTGTTGGCTGTACGTACTCCGTGTGTACTCTGCTCATACTACTGTGTACTCTGCTCATACTACTGTGTACTCTGCTCATACTACTGTGTACTCTGCTCATACTACTGTGT